CTGCCAACTCATCCCAAGTTGTGATGGAATGGTTGGGGAGTCTCTCTAGCCAATCCAATGCTTTCCCTCGAAGTGAGAAGGGGAAAAGCCTCAACCTAAGAGCATCCTCGGACACATTCGTCTGCTTGCTACCCCAACATGTATCCACGAACCCTTTTAGATACTTGTAGGCATTTTGATCCGCAGCGCCCGTGAAATACCCACGCTGCTCAAGTAAAGTCAACATCACATTGGTTATCTGAAAATTGCCCGCCCGAATTCTGGGAGAGACAATAGCACTTGCATAGCCTTGGATCGGTAGCACCCGAGGAACCGCTCTTGGAGGTGGCGGAGGAGGTTCTGGACTGTTGTCATTAGCATTGGCCTGGCGGCCTCGTCGTTGTCCGGGAGGTATAAGAGGCACCTCATCGTCTCCAATATCCTCAACCTCCTCCCCCGCAAGCACATTTCCAAGAGTGTCATTAGCATTTAAAGCCATTTTGGTACCTGTAGTAATCACACACACAAATTAGTAACAAAGAAGGAAAGAAGAACAACACACAAAACAAACTAAATAGATAGCCAAAACTATTAGCTCCCCGGCAACGGCGCCAAAAAGCGATCGCTGCCAACTCCGCACCACTAAAAAGTAGCGAGAGAGGGTCGCAATAGCTTTTACCCGATTTGTGGGTCGGGATCGAATCCACAGAGAGCTAGGATTTGAGTCAAGTATCTATCTAGTTTAGGATCGCGTATGTGTTCTTAATTGATCTTCTCATAATTTTTGGGTTTTCTTTATATTCTACTATTATCAACTACTAATTATAAATGCAGCTAGATTATGCTAAATGAGAATTGCTACAAGTTGTATCTAATGGGTTAAAAAGGCACTAGGGTAGTGACCTTCACCTTGGTGGCTAATTGATGGGTGATTGCGTCTAAGGCACGATTGACATGATTGGGGAAATATGTTATAACCGTTGCTCAATACTACCACTCTAAACCTCTCGGTAGAAAGAATGGTTTTGCCCAATTGACTCTCTCGAGACCAATTGGGTATGCATATTTGCCCAAGCAACTAGGGTTCAAGTCGGGTAATTACTCTCTCGAGGTTTAACCCTTTAATTGGAACTATCAAATCTCTTGAGTGCATCCCAATTCCTTGTTGAGTCAATTTCGGGGACTTAGGCTCTCTTTCTCAAGAAGAACCCAAGTCAACTTAGCACAAACTAGTGTTTGCAACCACTAATTCATAAATTAAACCATAAAATTGACCCAAATAACAATCGCCCATAATCAATCTAACCTTAAATTATAACACCCATCAATTACCCACACTAGAGTTGAGCCACAACCCTAACTAATGGGTTTAGCTACTCATGCTTGAAGATAAAATCAAAGAAATAGATGAAGAGAAAGACATAATATTAAATTACTGAAGTAAAGATAATGATTCAATTGCTAAAACTATGTTAAAGTGCCCAAAATGGCCACAAAATAGCTTCTCCGAGCGCAGCTAATGTCTGATAATAACTGGTTACCCTAAAAATGGAAAAATGTTCTATTTATACTAAGCTGGAAAAACTGGACAAAAATACCCTTGCGGGGTCAGTGCGGACCGAACAAAATGGTGTGCGGCCGCACTAGGCTCTTGGACTTGAAATCTTAGCTCTTTGAACTCAGGCTCCGCGGACCGCGCAGAATGAACCGCGGCCGCGGAGGTTTCTATTGCTGTCCGCACAAACATGACCGCGGACCGCGTTGGCTTGAACCTTGGCAAATTACATCTCTCTGATCTTCTCTTCCGCGGACCGCACAGAATGGTGGTGCGGCCGCGGTGTCTTCAGTGCGGGCCGCACAATATCTACTGCAGCCGCACTGCTTTGATGCCTTGAAAACCAGTCTCTGAATCTCCCTAGTGCGGACCGCATAGAATAGACTGCTGCCGCACTAGGCTAGTTTGTCCTGAGTTGTCTTTGTCTTTGATACTTGTGTAGGTTTCACTCCTTTTGAGCCAATCTTTGACATCTCGTCACTTTGTTGATCAAACCTGCAATCAAGCACAACTTATGAGCCTTTTGGGACTATTTTGTAAGAATTTATTATCAAAGCGTAAGCAAGAAGGAGCATGAAACACGTCAAAATCCCTAGTTATCAACCATGCTGCCTAAATAAATTCACCGTCAAATTGACAAAATTCAACGTAATTTCTTGTAGGGCAGTAGCCAAACCTCCAGAAAAATCCACTACATAAAATGGGACATTGTCTCTTTGCCAAAACATGCTGGGGGTATAGGAATAAGAAAATCCATTAATGAAAACACTGCCGCTATTACAAGCCTCACTTGGCGATTCTTTAGTCACCCCTCTGCTGTTTGGGCTACAGTACTCCAAATATGCTGGTCGATGCTCAAATACATCTCACTCCTTTATATGGAATAACATTCTTACAGGCTGGACAATTCGCAAAAATGCTATTGTCTGACACATTGGAGATGGTTCCAACATTGACTTTTGACATGCAAATTGGCTGCCTTGCACAAAAAGCCTACGTAGTATGATTCAAGGTCCCCTGTAATATACTGATTCAAATCTCAAAATTTCGGACATATTCTCCAACAACTCATAGGACTTGTCACAACTCTCTTTTGAGCTCCCATCACACATTTCAACCGAAATTCACTCATTCCAAACTACTAATGACTACCACCACTGTGATACCCCACCATAATAGAGTTTTCAGCACAAAATATATGTACCCTCTTATAACCTATAATAACACTCAAACCAAAGGAAAAATTTTGCATGGCTTTGGAAACTGAAAACTTGGAATAAGATTAAGTATTTCCTATGGCAATGCTACAATGATCGCTTACCTACCAAAAGCTACCTATGTCATATTGGGATTGATACTCCCTTGCACTGCTCAGTTTGCACCAACACTGAGGAAACTCCACAACACATTTTTCTCTCTTGCCCAATAGCCAGACATCTTTGGGATGAACTAGGTATTAACACACAAACCGTTGACAACCAATCTACCCACTGGCTAGATAGCCTATACAAACACAAACCCCAAAATTACATGCCATTCCCTAACATGGGACTGTCTCTTTTCCTTTGCACTTTGGCTACTTTGATTAAATAGGAATAGAAACACCTTTCACAATCTTTGCAACCCAGTAGATAGTAGCAATGTTATCTCAAGAGCCATGGAATATCTTCATTGTAGTAACATCAATTGCAGCAAGCTAGATAGACCCCTAACGGTTACTACCAAATGGGAGCCCCCCACCATGCACCAAGTGAAATTAAACATAGATAGAGATTTTACAGGTAGGTTTAAACATTGAGGGATAGGAGGTATTTTTAGAAACTCCAGTGGGGAATGGATTCTGGGATTTAGTAAAAAAACCTATGGCCCCTCCCCACTTTACATGGAACTTGAGGCATTATGCTACGGATTAAATCTAGCAGCAGCTTATAACTTGACCAACCTCCAAGGTGAGACGGATTCAACCTCTATACCATCAATAATCGAAATTACTAATTTTCCACCATATAACGTACTTATCTCCACTTGCAGGTACTGGCTGAAGATGTTGGGGAATCTACCAATCCTACACAACTTTCGTGAAGGCAACAAGGTAGCAGATGAACTGGTACAATATGGAGTTAGGCAAGCCAACGTCTACTATAGTCAGTTATATTCAGATGTCCCAGACTACCTCAAAGATGCTGCAAGCTGAAAAAGAGGGTATCAGTACTACTAGGAGCAGTACAATTAATGTTGTTGTCTTAAATAATTTGGCTATGCTCGGAAACTCTTTAATGTCTTCTTTTGGTTGTAACAATATTAGTACTATCATGGCTACATCTGCTCCCAATGGGAGGACCAGGCCATGTAACCCTACTAGTTAATAGATAAATAAAGTATCTTTGTTACCCACACAAAAAAAATAAAAAATCTTGCTGGTTGAATTTGTTAAAGCAACTGAATAAAATTACAAAATTATAGGGAGGGATTAGGCCAAATCCCCTATAAATCAATCTTGGCAGAAATGAGAAAACCTCAATTCTCTGCCTAAATTTAAAAACAAAAATATGGAACATTTTCCATCTAGCCATCTACTTGACTGCTAATAACAGTAATCTTTCCGGTTAAAAAGGGCAGACCGATGCACAAAGTATTTTATGTTCACGCAGAGTTCGAGGAAGGGCCACATCTAAAAGGTATGATGTAGACAGCCTACCCTAATGTAAGCATCAGTGGCTGCTTCCATGGCTTGAACCCGTGACCTATAAGTCATACAAAAGTAACTTTACCTGTTCTATAAGGCTCTGTTTCGGTAACCTTTCCAGTTGAACTCATTTTATTGTGATCACAACTTTTCATCTTCTTTGTTTCCTGGATTATCAAATAATTAGCCATTGCTTTTTGGATCCTTGTGATCCCTTGATTTTTTACCTTTGATTTGAAGAGTTTTCCACGTTGAAATATGGTGTTCTTTATCTTCTTTATTTTTGGGTTTGCCTCTTCCTCGACATCTTGCTGTTACTTGTTATCGGTACCTCTTTCATATTCTTTGTTGCTATTTTCGATTTAGTTTTCTAATTATTTGTCTTGCTATTACTTGCTGTCATGGCTTCTTTCACCTTCTTTAGCTGAGGGTCTATCGGAAACGGTCTCTTTGCCCTCCCAAGGTAAGGGTAAGGCTGTGTTTACCCTCCATAGACCTCACTTGTGAGATTATACTGGGTGGTTGTTATTGTCCTCTTCCTCGACATAACAGTTGCAGCAATAGGAAATTAAAATTTATCTTTGATCCAAAGGTCATTAGTCCTCATTAGTATTAGGATTATAGTATGCTTCAGGTGGATTCATGCTCAAATTATGTTTTACTCAGTCACGAAAAGAGAAGCAAAAGAGATTCAGTGGAGTTGAAACACGTGAGTCTTTTTTTCTTTTCTAACCAAAACCAACTCTTGGTGGTTGAATTTATTAAAGCAAGTGAACAAAATTATAAAATCATAGGGCCAAAACCCCTATAAATCAATCTTGAAAGAAATGAGAAAACGTCAATTCTCTGCCTAAATTTAAAAACAAAATGGAACTTTTTCCATCTAGCCATTTACTTGACTACTAATAAAAGTAATCTTGCCGGTTAAAAGGGACAGCGCGATGCATAAAGTATCTCACGTTCACGCAGAGTTCGGAAAAAGGTCACACTTAAAGGGTGTGATGTAGATAGCTTATCCTAATGCAAGAATCAGTGATTGCTTCCACGTCTTGAACCCTGTCCTATAACTTACGCATGGACAACTTTATCGTTACTCCAAAGCTCCCCTTCAGTAAGCTTTCCATTTGAATTCATCGTACTGTGATCACAACTTTTCATCTTCTTTCTCTTCTGTATTTCTATCCCTTTTTCGTCATTCTTAATCATCTTTCTTTTTAGAAACCTAGCAAGTCTTCCAAGGGAAACTTCAACATCATCACTTTTCATGAGTTCTTCAGCAACTTCTGCAGGAGTAACTTGTACTTCTTCAATCAAATCTTGTACTTCTTTAAAACGCTGATTACTGTAATCATATTGTACTTGCAAATAATTTTCTGCTAGGACTTTAAATCCTTGAATTGTTAAATAGGACATGTGAATGTGCATGTCCATACGACCTGGCCTTAATAGAGCTGGATCAAGCTTGTCTTTGTTGTTGGTAGTGAATATTATGATTCTTTCATCCCCACAACTTGACCATAGTCCATCTATGAAATTTAGTAGCCCAGCAAGTGTAATCTGTAGGGAAAATAATTAAGTAAAGCAAGTTAGTCTTGAAATTAGATAATCGTTATTACTAATACAATGTTTGTTACGATTGTTATTTAAAATTTATTGTATTACATTGTTAAGTAGTTGTTATGTAACAAAAAAAAAAAAAAAAAAAAAAAAAAAAAAAAAAAAAAAAAAAAAAAACTCATATATCTATGTATATATAGACACACACACACTAAAAGTTTATCATATAAAATAAAATCGAGCAAGTATAAAAAGGTTAATAAATAACACAATATATCTAAATATAACAATATAACATAACATAATACAATACAGTTAGAGTTGTCAATATGGGCTGGGTCGGACTAGCTCAGTCTAGCCCACGTGGGCTTTAGCAATTGACGGGCTGGGATGGGCTAGCCCACCATTTTGATGAGCCTTATAATGGTCAGCCCACCCCAGCCCTATGTGGGCCACAGGCCCCCACGGACCGATCCATCATTTTTTAAAATATAATTTTATATTTTTTCTTTAAGTTCTGACCTAAAAAAAGGATAGTTATTTAAAAGTTAAAAAATATCTTATTGGAAAACTTCTGCAAAACTTTATAACTTTTTATACTGTTCCAATATATTACAATAAACACTAAATAAAAGTAAAAGACGACTATATTGCATTCACTAAAAGTCAAAACTCAAAACAAACTATTCAAGAGAACGTCCATGACGCTTATGGGATATCCAACACATCATCTTCATCAAACACATTTGAATCCGCTTGTGACAAGGTTGTCTTAACATCTTCACTTTCATCTACATCTACAATTCATATGCATATTAATTAGTTAAATTTTAACAATAATTAAATTTTAAAAACTAATACAATATCTAAATTCACATAAAAAAATATTACCAGTTTGAGTTTGGGAAAAGTTGTGTAGCCAATTTCGAGCAGTAATCATTTTCATAATAAATGCAACTTCTGTACTTTGTAATACACGCCCAATGGTAAATGATGATTCTGATGCTACAATGATAATAGGACTATTAAGTAGATCACGCGCCATCACTGAAAGATCGGGATATTTTCTAGAATGGCCCTTCCAATACATGACAACATCCATCTCTTGAATCTTTTCAAGATCAAGTTTTGATTCCTCTAAGTAAAGATCCATATATGACTTTCCATCGCTAGAGGCAGTTTACTTTTATTATTTATATATTTTAAATAAATATTTTATGAGGCCCACGGGCCGGGCCGGCCCGGCCCAGCCTCAGTTAAGCCTCACGGGCCACGGGCTTACTCGGGCCGAGCTTAAAAGCCTCGTTATTAAATGGGCTCCAAAAATTTTAGCTCAGCCTTTCTAAATTACGGGCTGGGCTGGGCTGGCCCAACGGGCCAAGCCCATATTGACGGCTCTAAATACAGTAATAACAACAACAATAAACCCAGTATAGTTCCACAAGTGGTGTCTGGGGAAAGTACGCAGACCTTACTCTACCCTGGGGAGGGCAGTATAAAACATGCATTATGAAAAATGACAATCCAAATATTACCATTTTCTTGAATATATATCAATATATCTATATTTCAATGATACAGAGGATTTGATGAAATTCAATTTTTTCAAAACGACTAACCTTTTGATCTCGGGGAAAGAAATGTGGATGAATTCCATGATTTGCAGTCCTCCTATCTATCAATTCAATGCTGCAATCGATATCTTCAACAACAAGAATAGACCTATTTGTAGTCCTCAACAATAATCTTCTCAAATCCGAGTCTCTCTTTACACTAGACAGTTCTAAATCATAAATATCAAACTTCAAATAATTAGCCATTGCTGCAATTAAACTAGATTTTCCAGTGCCAGGAGGTCCATATAATAAATACCCTCTTTTCCATGCTTTTCCTACTTTCTTGTAAAAATCTTTCCTTTTTAAAAACCTATCAAGATCTTCAATAATAGCCTTTTTTAGTTCTAAATCCATAGCTAACGTGTCAAATGTTGAAGGGTGTTCAAGATTTATAAAATCCCAAGGAAATATTGATGAATAAGAAGAAGAACATGCTAAAGTATATAACTTAACAACTTTCTTCTCATCTCTTATGATTTTTGCTTCTTTTAATAAAAATGGAATGTAAAAATTCAAGATTTCATTTTTGTACTTCTTATGAAAACTCAGCTCAAAATAATGTTTCTCACGAGAAACCAATATGTTATTATTATCAGAATCTATATCTGGAATATTTTTACTATCTTCAGAAACAAACCTCCATATGAGTTCAATTCCTCGAAAAAAATCAACAATTTTCCCACACTTGGCAAATTTGACACGTATATTTGGCTCTTTCGAACACTTGCTAACTTTGAAATACTGAATATCTGGATCGATAATCTTGTTGTACAAATAGATTTCTGCAGCGTTATAGACTTCGTTACTAGCCATACCATCTCTTTCTTCAATAATTAGAGTGATAGTAGAGGAAAAAGGCGTAAAATAACTACTAATCCTCGCGAAAATATAGTTCTTGACTTCATGAGGAAGAACTCGATTCAACATAGTTTGAAACAACATAATTGAAGCAGACATTGAGACACAAGCGGTAAACAATGACGCCGGTGACATCTCCGACAAATTCATCGTAAAAAAATAAAAAAATCTCTTAGTCGCTTTATCAGACACGAATTGAAATTAATCGACTCAGTAAATTTCAAATGTGGGAGGACTAAAGAAAAGAAAAGGGATAGGGTTTCTTCTATACGTGCCCAAGGAAAGATTTTCACGTTTATATAATGGAATGAATATAACATTGGTATCTTAGAAAAAGTACATGCAGAAAATTAAATAATCATAGAGCGCACTATCTTTATGTTTAATTGGAAAAGACAGCCAACTTCCTGATACAGCAATATATATGTGGGGTTGGTGTAGCAAAAGTTAAATAAGTCATAGGGTTAGGTGTTGAATTAAGATACTTCGATTCAGTAAATATAAAGCTTGATTGTAGCTGATATCGACACTTGTCTTATTTCCTCTGTTATTTTGTCACTGCTTTATTTCTATTTCTATTAAAGGGAATCTAAGGTGGTCCAAAATCCAAATCGTGTTTGAATACTGACAAAAAATAACAGACATGTTTCTTTTAATAAATCACATCAATTTGACATTTTCTTTTCTTTTCATTCATCCTAACACAAATTCCGTTTCAAACTAGATAGTAAAATATTTAGTTTATCGAAAATCAAATTATATAAAGTTTGACCAATATTTTGATTTTCTTAAATCATATTAACATGAAAAAAATTATAACTTATAATATTTTTTATATAATTTTTGAATATCTAAATTTTAATTTTAATATATTGAGTTTGAGGTAATTCAATTTTGGCTTCGAAATTTAGTTAAATTGATTCTCGATAAGCGAAGCGCTTCATCTAAATTGAAGCAAGTGAGTATTTTTTACATTTTCATTTAGTACTATATACTCCCACCATTTCAGTTTGTTTGTAGTAAAAAATACTTTCGAAACTTGTGATTTTAAATAAGTCATAATATTTGAATTGTTATAAAACTTTTGAAACTTATGATTTCAAATAAATCATAGTATTTGTAGCTGTTTTTTGAAACGGACTAAAAAGAAAATAGTACTAAACATTAAACAGAGCGACAATTAAAATGAGCAGCTGTAAAGTTCAACCAATACAAAAACAAATTGTTTGATGTATATCTAGCTTATGTATATTAAAAATCTTTCTTTTTAAGCATTCATCCGGTCAAATATAATGCACAAATTTGTGAAACAGAAAAGAGAACGAAAAAACAATCTTATCAAAAAAAAAAAAAAAAAAAAAAAAAAAAAAAAAAAAAAAAAAAAAAAGGAAAGACGAGAAAGCAAGAAACAAAAAATTCTAAATGGAATTTAACCAACATTCACAAAATAATGATATGATCCCTCAGTGATTAGTTAAAAGAAGAAAAAGTGGTAATACAAATACTGTTTATTAGCAACCAATAAGAGCCGCAAATCCTTATTAAAGCTTACAAACACAAAGAATCTAGTTTATAAGACAGCCTCCACTTTGTAGGGAGTTGATAGTGGATTCCACCTATTCCTTAACCTAGAAGGAAAAGAAGGGAATATGATATATCCTAAAGAATACTTCCTCCGTTTCAAGTTAGATGAGATAGTTTGACTCGGTACAGTTTAAGAAAAAAAAAATTTTGAAACTTGTGGTCTTAAAATGTCACAACCCGAATTTTCCACCGTCGGGACCGTGATGGCGCCTAACATTGTACTCGATAGGCAAGCCAACGTTACAGAATATTTCACCTTTTTTCTTTATCTTTTAATAATTAAAACTTAACAAAAGTAAATCAGCGGAAATAGTTGTGGAAGAACACAGTTTAAAAGATTATCGTTATGCTAATAATGAAAACTGAAATAAATTCCACCCAGAAACTGGTGTCACGACTCACGAACAGTCTACGAATACTACAAACATTGGTTTGAAAGAAAAATATACATCTGTCTCGGAGAAAAGTAAAACAGAATGCAGTAAAGATAGAAGGGGACGCCAGGGCCTGCGGACGCCTGCAGGACTACCTTGGGTCTCCTGAAAGCAGTGATAGCCATCAACCTCTCGATCAGCCACTAGCTCCGAAATCTGCACAGAAAGTGCAGAGTGCAGTATCAGTTAAACCGACCCTATGTACTGATAAGTGCCGAGCCTAACCTCGATGAAGTAGTGACGAGGCTACGGCGGTGCATACAACATATACAACCTGCAACAGTTTATAATAAACGGAAAGGAAATACAGAATGTAATAAAGCAATAACTGGCGTTAAATAAATTCGAAACCCAGTTGTTCTACTAGCATTCAGCTATAACCAATCCTTAAGGGTGTTTCAACATCACAATAATGGACCTCAACAGAAATGAATACATAACAACAACTGATGTGGCGTGCATCCCGATCCCATCATATAAACAACAGCAGTATCAATATTCACCCTTATTACTCCTTGTTGCGGCGTACAACTCGATCCGACCAGTCCACCCTTATTACTCCACAATATACCACCCTTATTCCTCCTGTTGCGGTGCGCAACCCGATCCCACCTGTCCACTCTTATTACTCCTTGTTGCGGTGTGCAACCCGATACCCCCAGACAATCACATTCACCCTTATTCCTCCTGTTGCAGCGTGCAACCCTATCCCAATATATATATATATATATATATATATATATATTAATATATATATATATAATAATATATATATATATATATATAACAGCACCAATCACAAGATGAAGACAAGTATTTCCAAATCAACTCAAATCCTCCACAACACTTATTCCTCAAACCAACACAATGGAATATCACAACAACCGTAAAACTTCACCAGTTAAACTATACAGCGAGACCAACCTAAGTGTAACATGAAGCACCAATAACCAACATAGTCCAACAAGGTAGTAAAAATGAAGCTACGAAACAAATAATACTTCAATAGGAAAATCAACAGTTAGCATGAAACAACTATGCATGGAAGCATCGATAAGCAAGTAACAATTAAGGCAGGAAAGCAAGATATAGGGGAACGGGGAAAGGAAATAGGCTAAACAAGTTATTTGGCAACGCATAGGTGCTCATCACCATACCTATACGCCACACACATGGTATTTCACATAGCAAACAAGTCGGGGATCCCTAATCCATCAAGTCAAGGTTAGACCAAACACTTACCTCATGTCAACGGGTATTTCAAAGCTTAATCACCACTTAACCTCTCGATTCTATTAGATCTAATTTTAATGATGAAAATAATACATTTGCTCTTTGTATAGGAACTTTTGGATAGCTGTCAAGATTGGCGAAATCAATCAGCAATGATCAAGGAACATATGGATTGATATACAAGATTGCCGGAATATATCAGAAGCCATCAAGGAAAAGAGGCGTGATTAAAGGATGAAGCAATCAATCATGAAGATACTGACGGAATTAATCAAGGCTAAACTAAAGGAATCAAATAAATCAAGATCTTGCTTAATATTCAATCAAGTGTCTAAATATGGAAGATCAAGATTTCGGGCCGTTGCATAACAGCTTTATTCGTGGAAAGAATCAATCTCTTTCCAAGGATCAAATCTCTTGGGTTGGCAAATCTTTCCAGAATTCAAGCCTGTAATCACACCTTAGCAAAATATACTTTGATCGAACCAAACACCCTCTCTTTTTTCTACTGCAAACAAACATTGTAGCTCTCTAAGACCTGATGTGTAACAAGTTAGAGAAGAAAGAGAGAACAACACTGGTGAGGCATTGTATCAAAAGAGACCAGTGATATAGGAACTGAGCTATCACATCATTCTCCTTGTACTCGAAGAAACTCATTCACTAAAGAGAACTCCCTTGCAACCCAAAGGGACTGGACTAGGATTCACATTGAATCCGAACTAGTATAAAAATTCTGGTGCCTTTAATTTCTGCATTTAAATTCCGCATCTTATATTATGTTGTTACTACTGTCAGTTTATTACGTCTGGTCGACTAATTGAAAAACTAATCAACTAACAGTGATTAAGTTTAAAAATAAACAATTCACCCCCCCTCTTGTACTTTCAATTGGTAACAGAGCAAGGCTCACATTTTTCTTTTGCTTAACAGCTTGTGAGAAAAGATCATGGCAAATCAAGTTATCTTAGGAGCTCTCTTCCAGGAAGGAACTTCACAAGTTAGGCAACCATACTTCAATGGACAACATTTCTCCCACTGGAAACTGCGTATGGAGATATATGCCAAGGCATATGACGTTAAAGTTTGGAGAGTCATCAAAAAAGGGAATTATCCCCTGCCAGCTTCCGCTCAACCACTTGCTGATCCTGAAGATATAGATTCACATACAAACGAGCAAATGGCAGTAGTACAAGTTAACAATAAAGCGAGAAACCTGCTTTATAATGCCATAAGTGGTGAGGAGTATGAGAAAATCTCTAGCTGTGACACAGCCAAAGAGATATGGGACAAGCTTGAAGTTATATACGAAGGAACTAGCAAGGTAAAAGAAATACATATCAACATGTTGGTTCATGACTACGAACTCTTTTCAGTGAAAGAAGGAGATCTAGAGTCTATTGAAGAGATGTTTGCCAGATTCAGCAAAATAATTAGCGATCTAAAAGCCTTCGGCAAACCATATACGAGTGGTGATCAAGTTAGAAAAATTCTCAGAAGCCTACCAACTACTTGGCAGACCAAAGTAGTCACACTTGAATCTCAGGATCTAAATAAGTTATCATATGATGAACTACGGGGAGAACTCATAGCCTTTGAAAAGACACATCTCAAGAAGACTAATCAAGAAGAAAAAAAAAGAAAACAGTCACATTCAAGGCCTCAACTGAAGTAGTTGAAAATGATATCGATGATGATCCTGAAGCCCTTCAAGAAGAGATTGCTATGCTGTCAAGAAATATGGATGTTTTAATGAGAAGATTCAGGAATACGAGGAGAGGAAGAATTCCACCTAGGCGATCCAGGCAATACAATGAATAAGACAAGAATGATGGAAAATGCTATGAGTGTGGAAGATTTGGACACATTCAAGCTGAGTGCCCAGATCTAAAAAGAAAAATTTCCAGAGGCTTTAACAAGAACAAATCTTTTGGAAGTTGGAGCGATGAAGACAGTTCAGAACACGAAGAGATAGCAAATCTTTGCTTCATGACGATTTTGGAAAACGATATAAACAAATCCTCAGGATGCTGG